GTCTACCCTCCTCTCCAGCAGACTGCGTGCGGAAAGCATATTTACCACAAACAGGACGGGTGGGCAGGGCCCCCAGCTGGGCAGTCAGTTGGGGGCTGAGGCAGCCCAGGCCTCTTCCCCAAGTCCCACCCCGGGCTTGGTGCCCGACCACCTTCCACCAGACTCAGAGCCCAGACCCAGCATCCTCGCTGCCCCACCATGGGCTCGGCCAGGCTTCCCTCTGGCCTGCCTTCCTCACTCTGCTGGGCGCCGGCCCCGAGGAGCTAGTGCAGCCACGAGCCGGGTGGCAGGCGCTGTGGTCCCCTCCGCGTCATGGCCCAGGGAACCTGGGCACACACTTCAATCATACCCTGAATCCTCTGCTCCTCACCTGTCACAGCCGCCACTCAGGTGCAAGCCCCCCACTGCCTCTCGCCTGGGCAGGCGCAGCGCCTGCTCCCAGGCCTCCCACCTCCCCGCCCTGTGGTCAGAACACTCTGAATGTGTCCACTGCTGCCCCACTGAGCGCTGCCCTCTCCCACAGGTCACTTCCAGGTCCCCATCAGGGCGTAGCTCTGCCTCCCAGCCTTTGAATCTGCCCCATGCTGCCCCAGGCACAGCCTGCAGCCCACTTGGCAGGGCAGGGGCGCCCTTGGCCAGGGGCTGAGGGGCGGCAGAGCGTCATCCAGGCTGCCCTCCAGGCTGGCCCTTGTGGGTCTGATGGAAATCAGGCCGCTCCCCAGCACGCGGCTTCCCAGGGTGCCAGAGAGGACTTCCTCCCAGCTCCCCAACTTCCTGTTTTCTCAAGAAAATGCAGCAGCAGAGGCTCTGAAAAGCTCATTAAAATGCCTCCCTGCTTCCCGGACGTCCTGGGGTCTTTACAACATTCACCAGCCTGAGTACAAAGAGGCAGCAGACAGGTTCCTGTCCTTCCCGAGCTCGGCCAAAGGAAAGGCCTGCAGCACACTTCCCGCTGCCCAGGGCCACAGGGGTCCTGGTGGGCAGGGCCGGCCCTGAACACAGGGCTTCCCTCTGGCCTTCCTTCCTCACTCTGCTGGGTGCCGGCCCGGAGGTGCTGGTGCAGCAACGAGCCAGGTGGCAGGCGCTGTGGTCCCCTCCTCGTCACGGCACCAATTCCAGAATGTTCTGCACTGGCTCAGGCTGTGCCACCTCCCCCTCAGTTACACAGCCCGGGGGGTGGGGGGGTTGGGAGCTCCGACAAGCTCTGGCCAGCAGGGGAGGGCAAGTCAGCATATGGCCCCCAGACCCGTCTGGGGTCTTAACCCAGGACCCGGCCCCCACCGGAGATTTCCTCACCCAGACCTTTCTAGGTGTCAGGGTGCACCCAGTAGCCTCCTGTGGCTGTGGATGTCAACCTTGGAAAATGGGACCCTCCTCCCCACGGCCAGACGGGACATCCGAGGTTTCCTTCACTCCACCCAGAAGCCCTGCGGGAGGCCAGCCCTGAGCACAGGACATTCCCCAGATCCTAACGGAGCTGCTCCCTCGACTACAGCACATGCCTTGGCCCCCCCCACACACACACTCTCACCCCCTGGCGAGGGATGTGGGGATGGCGTGGGAAGAAGAGGAGAAGGCGCCACCAAATGAGGCAGTGGCTACTGCTCAGACGCCCAGAAATATCCAGGCCTCTGGTGTCCAGCCACCCGCCAGGGGATGTCGGGTTGTCTGTCACCGACGTGGCTGCCTGGCAGCCCTGGGGCTCACACGCTGGACCGAGGCAGGCCTGGGGCACAGGAGACCCACCTGGCAGCGGCTGAAGATGTCCGCATGGGTGACACGCACGTTGAAATGTCTGAGCACAGCCTTCGCCTGCTGCGGGGCCTTGAGGGAGCAGTCCACCCAGAGGCAGCGCCCAGCCCCGACCTGCGCCCGGAGCTGTGGAGAATGTGGCTGCTGAGCCCCGAACCACCCCGGCTGCCCCACCTCCCCCAGCCCCGGGCCAAGAACTTCCCTTGGGCCACCCAGGATGCCAGCGCTGGTGGGTGAGCCCCACAGCAGAGCCTGGGTCGGGGGTGGCGAGGGGCTGGGCGCAGGTGGGCCCTCACCTTGTGATACGGCAGCCCCGACGTCAGGATGATCCTTCCCTCCTGCCTGGCGACCTGTGCAGGAGGCAAGACTGCCGGTGAGGGGCACATACCTTCCAGGACCGGGGTTGCTTTTGTCCCCAGAGCCACCTCTGCCTAGGACGGGAGCAGCCATCAGTCCTGCAGCCTGAGTTCTGGGTTGGCCTCGTGCTATAGACTTGGTCTTAGAATCACGCAGAGATTTTACATGATTGCACACCCATTACACACAACCACAGTGATAGTCACACTCATTACACAGCCACAGTGATAGTCACACCCATTACACAGCCACAGTGATAGTCACACCCATTACACAGCCACAGTGAAAGTCACACCCATTACACAGGCACAGTGATAGTCACACTCATTACACACAACCACAGCGACACAGTCACACCCATTACACAACCACAGCGATAGTCACACCCATTACACAGCCACAGCGATAGTCACACCCATTATACACAGCCACAGCGATACAGTCACACCCATTACACACAACCACAGCGATACAGTCACACCCATTACACAGCCACAGTGATAGTCACACCCATTATACAACCACAGTGATAGTCACACCCATTACACACAACCACAGCGATACAGTCACACCCATTACACAGCCACAGCGATAGTCACACCCATTACACAGCCACAGCGATAGTCACA